TCTTCTTCTTCTTCTTCTTCTTCCTCTTCGTTCTTCATGGTAGATTAGATGGTGAGAGATGCAGTGTTGATGAACTCTGATGTGATTCCCAGGTGGAGAGGACTGGCATACAGCTTCTGCTACATGTCCCTGGGTTGTTGGTTGAGGCCAGTAGTTTTGTCTTACCGTATCCAGTAGTGGGCAGTCCTGGAGAATAATATGCTGCTGTGCAACTTGGCGACTGGCACCACAAGGGCAGTTGGGTCCATCACCGATCTTGAATCGGGAGAACATTGTGGTGCTTCAGCCTGTTGTGTCCTGTTCTGGGAAGATTCTCACTTGGTCGGCTCTTCTTGGGAGCTGGTAGATTGGGCCCTTTCTTTCTTCTGCGTTGTGGGTGTGTCTCCTTCCATTCCCATGTGGCTGATAATGGACTGAACGAACTTGTCATATGAAGACAGCAGCCTTTGTCTCTTTGTTTTAAGTTTTAGTAAGAGTTTTATTGCTCTTGCAGCACAATAAGGTCATATAAGTGCCGAAGATTAGAGGTGTTGCAAGAGAGTAACAAACACAAAATAGAGGAAGGGGGATAAGGACGTTAGATGTTTGATGGGAAAGAAGGAAGAAACCACACCAAAACACCTGCAAACCACACACCCTTTGTCTCTGATCATGAAAACCTTTCAAAAGAATACTTACGGCCGATGTTACTTGACTGGTTTAAACCCTTTGATAGCAAACAAACAAAATTTTTATTTTAAAAATATTTTAAAACCCCACTAAGACTTGTATCCAAATCTCTTCTTCAGGACGTTTGTGAACAGCGCTTGCCTGGTTGTTCGGAGACTGTCTGAGAATGTCCAGCCCTTTATATGTCAGATGAAAGTACACTAAGACCTCGGAACAGTGTACAAGGCAGAGAATGCACCATGTGAGGCAGCGTGGTGGAATCAGGCTCTCGTCAATTTTTGGGCATGTAGAGTTATTGGTATCATCTTAAAGCTAGTTCACTCGTCTTTATTTGAATGAAAAAAATATCCATTTATCTTGAATGCAAGTCGAGATATTTGCGAATGAAGAAGGTGGAGGTCACCTGTTTTCAGAGGTAAAATTAGGGAGAAAATGGCCTCCAAAGATTAGTTATTTCCTTAGCTTAAAGAGACCGTGGTAACTGAAAATTTACATTTTTTGTTCCTTTGATCAACGTTTTTAAGAAAAATCCACACAGAAACTAGTTCTTTAATGGACATGGAAGGTGTTGAGCCAAAAAACAAAAATTTGATAAAAATTCACAAACTTGGGGAACAATGCAAGTTTCTTCACTTTGATTATTTTGACGAGAGCCTGATTCCACCACGCAGCCTCACATATTATATCGACTCTGACGTTTAATTTCTGAAGCCTCAAGTCCCATTACGTCGCTCACATAAAATGACTGAGTTCTGCCCAGTAAGTACTTTTGAGAAATTTGACTTTAAAATGTTTAATTTGCACAATACGTCGAACTTTTTCTTATGGAATTGGGTGAATGTCTTGATAACGACTCCGGATAATCTTATGATTTTGATAGAGCAGATAGAACATTTTGGTTTCTGAACTTATGGTCTTAGTAACTCAAAACGGCCAAAAATGTC